AAAACTAAAAATAAAAAAATAAAATAAAATGTAGGCTCTTCACCTACAGTCCATTCTCCACAAAGCACCCCCACCCTCACCTGGGGCCTGGGACAGTGCCGGGCACGAGACAGATGTGCGGTAAATACTGATTGCATGAATGAGTGAAAGAGCTCTGGAGCCAGAGTGCTTGGCTTTGAATCCCACCTCTAACACCCACTAGGTGTGTAATCTGGGAAAGTCGCTGTTGTTAAGATTCGTTTTCAGTGAAATACAGGCCTGTCTTGTAGAGTCTGCTCAATATGTTATCAGAACTAACTATTCTTAGTACCTGGCCATTCCTCAAGACAAAGATCTGCAGTCTTTTTCATAACCTCTCTAACTTTTTCCCAACAAAGAATGGGGAAGGCTGCTGTTTTGTTTTGTCTTGTTTTGTTTTGCTTTGTTTGGGGGGCGGTATCACTATGTTGCTCTGGCTGGACTTGAACCCTGGGCTAAAGCAATCCCCCTGTTGCAGAAGGCTCCTGTTGTTAAGTGTTTTAAGTAGGAAAACGGAAAGGCTGGGAGAAAAAAAAAATTTTTTTTTCTTTGCAACAGAGTCTCACTCTGTTGCCCGGGCTAGAGTGCCATGGCGTCAGCCTAGCTCACAGCAACCTCAAACTCCTGGGCTCAAGCGATCCTCCCACCTCGGCCTCCCAGAGTGCTAGGATTATACGTGTGAGCCACTACGCTTGGCCCCGAGAAAATTTTTTTAGCTTTAATTTTTTTTTCCTTTTTTTCTTTTTTGAGACAGAGTCTCACTTTGTTGCCCAGGCTAGAGTGAGTGCCATGACGTCAGCCTAGCTCACAGCAACCTCAGACTCCTGGGCTCAAGCAATCCTCTTGCCTCAGCCTCCCAAGTAGCTGGGACTACAGGCATACACCACCATGCCCGGCTGATTTTTTCTATATATATTAGTTGGCCAATTAATTTCTTTCTATTTATAGTAGAGACGGAGTCTCGCTCTTGCTCAGGCTGGTTTTGAACTCCTGACCTTGAGCAGTCCGCCCGCCTCGGCCTCCCAGAGTGCTAGGATTACAGGCGTGAGCCACTGCGCCCAGCCTTAGCTTTAATTTTATTTCACCTTTCACCTTGGTTTTTTTTTTTTTTTTTCAGAACCACTTTGACTAAACAATACATAGCCTAGTTTCATTTGTTCTGAGATTTTACTGAATTTAAGTTGCTTGCTACCCCCATAGGGATGATTTACTACAACAAAAAAGCAATTTAATAAATTACCAATGTTTCTAGTTTTTACCCACATGAATACAGCATGGCCCAGAGCCAGCTTCCAGTGTTCCTTATTGTGGTCAGCACAAAGAAATGATTAAATGCATATAGACTTGGAAAGACTCCTTTTCAAAGTTGCTGGGATGATGCCTGGCTTCCCTCCCGCCCATGCCTGCTGCCACAGGGCTTGAAGCTAATGCCTTCACTGCCCTCCTTACTCCTACCCGGCAGAACAGTTAACACATAGCCAACATTTGAATTCTTACTGTGCACACATATTAATAGTTACAACCTCCTGTAAAGTACGCACAGTTATAATGCCCATTTTTAAATGAAGAAATCGATATTTGGGAAGGAAAAATGACATGTCCAGGGGCACACATCTTGAACACAACTGAGCCCAGTGACTCCTGCCTGCCATGCTACAGGGCTGACAGCAGAGAGGGTCCCCCATGCCAGTTACATGGTGAGGAGCAAAGTCAGAGTATGTAAGTCTGGGCTCTCTTGCCCTGAATTGAAAGGGAATGTTTCTCTAACGAGAAACATGAGAAAATTTGCTAAGAATGTTGAGTGATTTCAGATCAGGTGTTCTCTGTTTCTCATTTCGAAAAATTGTGTTGTACTTCCCCCAGTTTATACATATATTAAAATAACTTTCAAGGTATATGATTTTTTTTTATTAAAAGAGCATTTGTTCACATTTAAAAATGTAAAACTTTTCCATGTATACTTCTTATAGATTGATTCCATTGTAGAACTAAATTATCAAAATTGTTTATAGATAATAGATATTATAATGAGAAAAATAGATATTATAATGCCCATGGTATTCAGCCTTGAATATAATATTTAAATATAATATATAGAAATGTTTGTATTTAGCATTTCTCCCCTTCTATCAAATAGCTGCTTACTTGGGGGGAAAAAGACGAAACGTTTTGAAGATGCATCCAATTTTTTATCTTAGTTTCCTAAGTTTACTGTTTATTTTTTGTTTTGTTTGTTTTTGAGACAGAGTCTCACTTTGTTGCCCAGGCTAGAGTGAGTGCCTCACAGCAACCTTAAACTCCTGGGCTCAAGCAAGCCTGTTGCCTCAGCCTCCCGAGCAGCTGGGACTACAGGCATGCACCACCATGCCCGGCTAATTTTTTATATATATATATATTAGTTGGCCAATTAATTTCTTTCTATTTTTAGTAGAGACGGGGTCTCACTCTTGCTCAGGCTGGTTTCGAACTCCTGACCTCGAGCAGTCCGCCCGCCTCGGCCTCCCAGAGTGCTAGGATTTACAGGCATGAGCCACCACACCCGGCCTAAGCTTACTGTTTAAAACATGTTCTGCTTATGAAAAGTAGATTTGTCAATGGTAAATATTGAATAACAAGGGGGCTCCTGAAGATATTTGATAATCAGAACTGAAGTTGAATTTATTTTATACCTTAAATGATTAGAATTTATTAAATATTTATTCAAGAAATAATTTCTTAATCTGTAAACCAAGAATGTGTTTCTTATGGATTAATATATATACATATAGTATATACAGTGTGATTGCATTTTATACAAATTTAAAATAGTAATGCTATAATATAAAATATTTATAACTCTCACTTTATGTGAAAAATCTGAAATAATGAAAAACTTTTAAATCACTTCAAATGAAATGTCAGGGTATAGGCCAGTCAAGCTCTAATCTTTAAGTTGTTGCTACACACTTCACCAGGTCAAGCAAAAAGACTTGCCTTCCTTCATCAAGGAGAGTATCGGATTATACAAGGTCCTCAAAAACATACTCTTCTTGTATAATGTGACCACACATTACTTGCCATAGCTTATGTTGCATAGTATATTTTTTTTCCCTAAAAAGAAATCAGTCCTATATCATGCAGATTTATAGAAAGAAACTCTGGTAGGTCCATGGAAAAGAAAGTCTGTCTGATTAAACTGTAACCTGTGGTTTCCCAGACCATCTGAGTCTGTTTGCAGGGTTGGGGATGAATCTTGCTATGTATTATTTTCTTTTTCTACTTTTAATTTTTTTTTTAATTGATAAATAAAACCAGCCACTATTTTCTTAGTCCTTTTGTTGAAGCTCCTCTAAGTCTTCCATGGTAGCTCCAGTTCTACCACATTTTAAAAATAGGTAGGAAACATTATTTTTATCCATGGTTGTCTTAACCAGCAAGTACAGAACAGCAAATCTTCTTTTAAACTAAATTTACAGCAGGTCAAAGAGTTTGAGAAGTGAGAGTAACCACAAGCAACCCAGGTATTTTATATAATTATGATTTGATATTAAATTTCAAGGGATATACATGAAGAAAAATTTCAGTACCAAAGATAAATATTATTTAACACTAAATTTTAATGGCCTCAATGAAAATACTCCCATTAAAAAGCTGTTTAAATCAATAAATAATAATAAACTTTGAGTAGTTCTCTTAAACATCACTCCTGACAGAAATGAATTATATGGGCTGGGTGCAGTGGCTCACACCTGTAATCCTAGCACTCTGGGAGGCTGAGGCAGGCGGATTGCTTGAGGTCAGGAGTTGGAAACCAGCCTGAGCAAGAGCGAGACCCTGTCTCTACTATAAATAAAAAGAAATTAATTGGCCAACTAATATATATAGAAAAAATTAGCTGGGCATGGTGGCACATGCTTGTAGTCCCAGCTACTTAGGAGGCTGAGGCAGGAGGATTGCTTGAGCCCAGGAGTTTGAGTTGCTGTGAGCTAGGCTGACGCCACGGCACTCACTCTAGCCTGGGCAACATAGCGAGACTCTGTCTCAAAAAAAAAAAAAAAAAAAAAAAAAATGAAAGAAATGGATGGATGGATGGTACTGAATTTCATAAGATAAGGGAAAATAGAGTTTTGAAAAATACCAATCTTTTCTAATTAAAAAACAAACAAACAAACAAACAAAAAAATCCTAAAGCCCATATTGTAATATCCCCACTGCTAGTCACATTTAAAAGATCGGAACCCAAACGGGTTTTATAGTTTTACCCTAGGAAACTCAATGATTTTGCTTCCTTTTTCTTAAAGATTATTCATCCAGACATTGATGAGCCTACACACCTGTTTGTTTAAACTGTGGCTGTCAGTGGTGGTCGTTTGGAAAGCTACCTTATATATAAGGATACTCAACAAATGGGAAATGTTATAAAACTCTTCAGCCGTTTTCACACCACCAAGCTAAAGCAGGTATCCTTAGAGCAAATTAGGCTTCCACAGGCCAATTATTTAGACCGTTGAATCTGGATCCACCAGAGAACTGTAGAATCCTCTAAACCCCAAAGCCTCGGTCTACCCGTCAGCATTGGTGGGAGCTCTTTGGAAATGCAGAATCCCAGGTCCCAGCCCACACCTACTGAATCAGAATCTGCTTTTTACCAAGTCCCAGGTGATTTGTATGCGCACTGAAGTTTGAAAAGAACTGATCTAGTGAAATCTCACAGCTAAACCCACAGAGCTAGGCCAATGAGCTTGTGTGCAAAAATGGAAAAGAGTGACATCCGGGGAAGAGTTCATATATCATTTCCCTACCACATTTCATTTTTCTTATTTCAGCCTTGTTTCGAAAGGCCATGGTTGTGTTGGCATGTTTTAGATTTAAACCATTTTCTGTGCAGAATTCCTGTTCATGTTTCCAAAATGTCTGTGAAAATAGTTTGCCTAACCCTTACGGACTGTGCCTGGCCCTTTGAAAACGTGTTTCCTGCTGACACCCCTTTTTCTCCTTTCCAGTCCTGACCCAGCTCTCCCTGAGGAGCAGCCGCATTCCAGCCCCCAGTGCACCCCTCTCCGCTGTCTCTCCAAGCCTCCTCACCCCTAGTCTTCATTTCCTGTGGACAAGCTCCTGGGGTGAAAGTGTTGTAGCCACACGCAGGATACTGCCCAAGATCCAGTGGGTGTTTTCTTCTGGGTTGTTGATACACACTTGGATTAATGTCTATTCATTTTGGAAGATGAGAAAAAGTTGAGAAGAATAACACAAAGCACAGAGACCCTGGTGTGATAAAACCTTAGAGAAAATGGTTTCTCTAAGTCACAGAGAAACTTCTGCAATCAAATGGCTACAGTTCAGTTAAATTAAAAAAACGAAACAAAACAGGAAACATTTATCTCAGATGGCTGGCTTTACCTCGATAGCATAAGAGAGACCTAAGACAATGTAAAATACATATATTGTAAAATCATCTTTCCTCACACTCCAAATTCAGCTATAGAAATTGATTCCAATATTTTTTGCCATTGATATTTATTTTGTACTTTGTTTGCTACATGATGATTTATGTCTACAAAAATAATGTCTGTGAGAAGTGAATTTAATTCATTTATTTTCAGATAAGCATAATTTGCTCAATGAAGTATGAGTTTTCATTTACTTTGAAATCTGGAATTGGCCAGACTGTGGTCATTTTTCTTGCACAAAATGATAAATGAGGTGCATCAGAATGTTAACAATAACTGTATTTTGCTGCTACACTGATATTGTTTATGCTCTTATTTTCTAATCAGCTCATTAACTGCTGGGGTTTGTTTTTGTTTTTGTTTTCTTAACTAGAGTTCTTCACTGGACATTATTAAGTAAATCTAAAAAGAGGAGACTAAGTTATGATCCATTGATTTATTCAAGTTTTGATGGTTTCTTTAATTTTTTTAAATTGCAGTTGAGTAGTTGTACTGGTGCTGTTCCTTTGTGTGTGTATGTGTGTGATTATGTTAAAGAAGGCTAAATAACTTGAAGGGAAAAAATGGTGTGTTTATTTAATGACCAGAATTTTTTTTTTTTTAACTTCTCCCAAATTCAGGGTCCTATCATGAGTCTTTCCTGCTAAAAGGTATCAAGTACAAATGGGAAAATATATACCTATAGATAAATTTAAGGTAGCCTTTGGTTAATTAATTACCCAGAAAGTGTTCAAATTTTGGTCAAAACTGTATGTTTTGTTGTTGTTAGGTTTTTTCATAGTGAATCTTCCTTGCCAAAAAACAATAGATAATAAACCTTAGCTCACTGTCTACTTTTGACAAACACTCAGGTGCCTACAATCACATTATATTGAGATAATACATGTTCCTAGTTAATTTACAGATTCTGCTGGGTAACTTTTACCACTTGATTTAAGGCAGCGGATTTTCATAGCGAAATTTTATTTTGCACATAATCTGACAAACAAGGAAGACAGCTAATTGAGCTGAAAGGTCTAAACACTCTTGGGCTCCTTAACTATCAAGTGCTGCCCACACAATCGCTCCTAGTCCTGATTCCTTGTCTTTGTCAGGTCGCCTTAACTTATTTAAAACCATAAGGGTTTGACCTTTTCATATAGGGATAGATGTAACTTCTCTTCAAAACAAAACAGACAGACAAAACGATCCTTGCTGTTAACACGAAGGACGGTTAACAGTGCAGGGCACTAACAATGATGATCTAGGAGTCACTCAGCTGGGAAGTGGGTGGCCCAGGAATGGAGTGGTCTGCTGAAGACCCACCCGGAAGTCCTAAAGCACATGGCAGGAGCTTTGTCAGTCCTAAGCCTGTTAAGTAGATAGAGGTCACTGTTACCAAAGCAACCAAGAGGTTCTGTGTTCCTTAAATGAGTGCTATTTTTCAACAGTGTCATTTTATTGTGCAACTTGGAATAAATAGTTGAAATCTTCACCAAAATAGGGATTCAGGTTAAAGTTCAGAAACAGAAAGGAAACAAATTTTCCTAAATTCCTAGTCACAGCAGCCTAACCTTCTGCCCTTTCCTACCTGCATTGCCTTGCTCTTCCTAAACATTTTCGTCCTTGTCTTGGTGTTGTGTCTGCCTAGTACCAGTTATTAGTGAGACAGTGTGGATTTTATTAGTGTTCAATTAAAGAAAGCTTACCCTGGCCCTCACTTTTTCTTTTCCTTTTTTTTTTTTTTTCCTTTTTTATACATGTCATGTTTGGATCTGAGAAGTGGCATAGCTGCTAAGTTGACTTTTAATAAAAACTGTGCCTGGGGGAAAATATGCCTTTTTAAAAAAGTACCTGGGAACACCTTCCTAGTATGTATATTGCCTCATCAGTTTTGTTTGGTGGGACTGGGAGTTCAGCAGCAAGTATTGTCTGCGTGTGAGGTTAGGGCATTTCTGCCTGTTGCATTCTTACTCCCTTACTCTGGATTTAGGACCCAGTGAAAAGCTGGGTCGTATACCAAACATTTATTTCTTCCAGTACAAAGTTTATTATTAAGTCTATTATAGACTCGGTTTATTTCGGTTCTTTATCTTAATAGAGTGGGAAGTGCTTGTTTTGAAATATTAAGTCTGTGAAAATATTAATTTTAGCAAAATTCTGCCAAGAAGATATAGAAATTTGGAAGTAAACTTTTCATTTTCAGCACAAAATTAGACTGCAGTCCCTAAGCAGTAAAAAAGAATACCATGTATTTACACTGTGGCATCATTTAGTATAGTTTTTTAAACTGAGCCATATCTCTATTTATTTACAGGCAGTTAAGATGAATAAATATGTGTAGTGTCGATAAAAATCAGTACCTGTCAAGATAACATCAGGAATTGAAAAGGAAATTGAAAAGTGAAGAACTAGTGAAAACCAAAAAGAACAAACCTCAGTAAGACTAATTAAAGACATACTTGGGGAGGAAAAATAAACTGCAGAAATGCATTACAAGTACTGGCTAAGGCCGGGCACGGTGGCTCACGCCTGTAATCCTAGCACTCTGGGAGGCCGAGGCAGGTGGATTGCTCAAGGTCAGGAGTTCGAAACCAGCCTGATCAAGAGCGAGACCCCCGTCTCTACTAAAATAGAAAGAAATTAATTGGCAACTAAAAAAAATATATAGAGAAACAATTAGCCGGGCATGGTGGTGCTTGCCTGGTAGTCCCAGCTACTCGGGAGGCTGAGGCAGAAGGATTGCTTGAGCCCAGGAGGTTGAGGTTGCTGTGAGCCAGGCTGACACCACAGCACTCTAGCTCAGGCAACAAAGTAAGACTCTGTCTCAAAAAAAAAAAAAAAAAAAGTACTGGCTAATTATTGCAAACATGGTGAGCAAAGATTAAAGATATCTAGCAGGAGTGGTTGCAAGATAAACAGGTAGTTTTTAAAAAGTAAGCACAATCACAATGCTAAAAGGAATAGTTAATATGCAGAAATGTTTCCTACTGAGGATTTTCCTTAATTAAAAAATGATAATAAAAAAAAAAGCAATAAGTTGCCTTTGGCCTGAGTGCTCAAGGGCATGAAGGACCTTGGATTAATCTTTCCAGTTAACTCATGGTTCATCAGATCCTTTTCACAGACCCATTTTGAATTCCAGTAGAGGAATTTAGGAATTTCTCAATAACTTTTGAGAAAACAAAAAGTTATAAAATAAGTAAGACCTACTTAGAAATTATACTTTAGCCAAAGGAAGAGGAGTTACAATAGTGATCTTTAAAAAAGAGAATTTAATAAATGATAGATACCAGCTATAGATATTGTTACTGAGACTAGAATAAGAAAGTCTTCAGTGTGAAGGATTTATATTAACTCTAGAAAAGAGATTTTTAACACTGGGAAGTTAATCATTGACATTGATAATCATAAGGAAGATTTGTTTTTTAAAAATTGAATATTATTGATAGTCTAGTAAGGATTAAGTGGCATGATAACTTGTGATAATGCATTGTAATTCCGGGAGCTCATAATTCTATGATTCTTTTATTTTAAATTTTAAAATAAAATTTTACTGGTTAGTCATAAAATATTTTATATTTGAAGATAGGAATGGCAATCTTAATTTTTCCAAGATATTTGGTGTTTTTTTTAAAAAAGGTTTGTGGCTATTATTTTTCTTTCCAGCTTATATTTCATAATATCTTTAAAGTTGTCCAGAATATAGTAATTTTGCTAAAAAAAAAAAAAACAACTTCAATTGTCAGAGTCTAAAATATCAAATGTCGTCACAAATAGATGGTATACAATCCCTTAGGAAGGGGCAAATGCCTCTAAAATTTTATCTTTATTTAAAAGGATATTCAATCTACAACATCTGCATTTTCCATGCTTTGAAGAATATTCTTGTACAGATAAGTCCTTCTGTTTCAAACAAGCATAAATCAGGTCCAGTCAACTAGGAAGGTGGAAATGTCCTGATTCACTGCATTAAATAAAATTCTCTACAGTTCTTAAATAGGGATTACAAAATATGAAAAGGAAAAAAAATGAAACATATTTTCTTCTGGGATAAGAATTTCAAATTTAATGTATAATTGCCATAATCAATCAGCCAAAAAATGTAATCTGCCTTTCAGACACATGGGGGGAGCTGATCTAGTTCCGGCAAGAAACTCTTCTGGTTCAACCCAAAGATGCCACCAGTGCATTGAAATGGAAGATATAAAGTAGGACTAAATTTGAACGAAACTCTTAGGATAAAGCTTACAATTTTGAAAAGTTTACCCTCCGGTTCTTTTGTTTGTTTATAAACTAGATTTTATATAATCCTTGCATTTAAGGCTGCAAAAAATTTACAAGAATATGTTTTCAAATAGAGGGAACATGATTCTTCAAAAAGCTGTTGAACTGGAGTTTTGATAGATACATTATGATAGCATGATCAGTGCTGATATTGAGAAGTAGGTTTTTTTATCTTAAAATCAATTTCTATGGACATACAAGATGAATCTAGCCGCAGAGTGACCTTTTCCATTGTCTGTAACAATGCCCCCAGGTGAGTTGTATCAGAAATTGAATTCATCTTTATTTAAATGCCAGCTTAACTTCCATAGTCCCTGGTATATTGCATTGATAGCCTGAACCTATTATTATGTTAACACCTGAAAGATTTCATCTATGTCTTTCTGAAAGACAGCTCTTTCATCCTTATTACTCAAAGTGTAATTGAAAGAGATATTTTCTATTAGGATATGTTCCCCAACTGAAAATTTTCCAGAAATAATATACTACTTAAGAAGAGGAGCAGTTAACTGCCTTTAGTGTAAGGGCGAGAGTGCATAGAAGTATGCAGTGTAAAATGTTTGCATGAGATAATTCACATCATGTAAGCTTTCCAATATTCATAATATGAACACTACAGAAGTCTCATTTATCTTGTGATCTTCTGTCCATTAGGAATGTAAGGAGACTGTTACCTATATCTGGTCTCCTTTCCATACTGAAGTGCATGGCTCTGATCCTCAGTGTATTTTTATCCCTTTCCTCTGGAGTTATTTAAAATTTTGCCCTATTTAAACTGAAGCCTGGACAAACTGCTGAGCTAGATTATTTCTGTGGTTGGAGTTTAATTACTGTAGAACACTTGTTAAGAACACATTTTTTTTTTTATTTTAACTTCTTTTCTTTCAGAATTATTCTTTGGATCATTATTGTTCTCTAATGAAAACACTGAGAAGTAAATCTGGTACTTAGTATAAGTGTATGTTTTTCTTTTAAAAAGTAATTTTAAAGACCAGAGAGCTGTAAAGTAAAGGGAAATATCATTTTGTTTAAAAATCATTATTCAAAAAAAAAATCATTATTCAATGATAATGGAGATATAGAATGAATCATTGGGTCCCTAGGTATGATTTGTGCAGTAAGTCTTAGAGGAAATATATCATTTTAACATTATTGCCACAAAATTTTTAAGCTCAAGGTTTGACTGTTAGAGTCAATTAATTCTTTAAAAATATTTTATGACATTTTTGTAAACTACTCAGTGTTTTTATTGGCATGATTCTGCATATATGATGAACCATACATGATTCTGATATTGTATTTCTTTCCAGTGTTAACATTTGTGTCATGTGTGGCCAACCCTGATTTGTACACTGTGTGATTATTGTTGTAATGATTCAGCTATTCCTACATTTAATTGCAGTTTATTATTATGCCTTTTGGGGTTAAATGATGTGAAGTGTTTCCACCTACTGATTATACCATATGAAAACATGACTAAAAGACTGATCTAAGAAACTTTTTTGTTGCTAATTATTTTTAAAAATCTGAATTTCAAAATAAATGTTCTCGAAGATACACGTTTATTTTAAATTCAAAAAAATTCTTATGAATTTATTATTGCTTGTAATTTTTAATTTTTTTATTGTAGACAATCCTAAGCGAATGTCTCATGGGAGAATCCATATTATATGTGCTTGTATTTGTGTAATCCGATCATGCACTCAATGGTTGGAAAAGGCACTCCAGTGCTAAGAAAATAACCAGAAACCAATATATCAATTCTTATATTTGGTTTATGTTACCAATTAAATATGGTGTAATGCATAACTTTTTCCAGTAAATAAACTGGTTATCTTTTGTTCATTTCATCAGTGCTACTTTTTAATCAGTTTGAGCAATTTTTCTGTGTGTCACTTTGATTTATACTTGCAAAAAAGAAAAGAGCATATGAATTTCTGTGTGATGTATGTATTTAATCAAAGTAAGAACTTATTTGAGCTAAAAACTGAATGCTTTGCTTTAACATTTCTATACATTCCTGGTAAGTAATATGTATCAACTTTGCCCATTCTCCGTTTATCATCTCTGCTACTGGTAATTTTTTTAGAAGATTATTTTGGCAGGAGGATACACTTAGCTGAATTTGATTAGAAATGTACCAACATGGAAAAAAAAATGCCTGCTCTAAAAAAGGAAACACTATTTTAATGAAAGAGGAATGAAGGCTAGGTGCTCACACCTGTAATCCTAGCACTTTTGGAGGCCAGGCAGGAGGATTGCTTGAGGTCAGGAATTCAGAACCAGTATGAGCAATAGTGAAACAGACACCTTCTCTACAAAAAAGTGGGGGGAAAATTAGCTGGATGTGGTATCGGGCTCCTATAGTCCCAACTACTTGGTAGGCTGAGACAGGAAGATCACTTGAGGCCAGGGGTTTGAGGTCGCAGTGGGCTATGATGATGCCACTGCACTCTGGCCTGGGCAACAGAGTGAGACCCTGTCTCAAAACAAAACAACAAAAGAAGAATAATGAAATTTGTATGCTTCATTTTGGGAGACAATTCTTCTTTGCTCTCTTTCATATGAAGGAATAGCAGAATCCCACAACTTTGAGGGAAGTTAATCTACCAGCTCCTTCTACAAATATGTATCATGGGAAATTAGCTGCTTTGGGAGTTATCTGCTTTGGTTTGATTTTATCTTGGGGCTGCAGGAAGGAGAGAACCACACAGAATACGGACTTATGTAAAGTTCTAGTGAGTTGAAACCTCTAATACAGTCCTCATTATAACTAATCAAATTCACCTGCCATAGGCACCTAGTAATCCCAGCATGCTGGTGCATGCCTGTAGTCCCAGCTACTCGGGAGGCTGAGGCAGAAGGATTGCTTGAGCCCAGGAGTTTGAGGTTGCTGTGAGCTAGGCTGATGCCATGGTACTCACTAGCCTGGGCAACAGAGTGAGACTCTGTCTCAAAAAAAAAAAAATGCTTTTAGAAGAACCTCAGAATAATTAATCCTCAAAATATAACTGTCAAGGAAGAGAAATCTCACTGGGAGAAATATTGCCAGTGTCAAAAGTAAACATAATTTACAATGTAATTTGAATGTGGAAAGCAATAGATAAGTAAAAATAAATCTTAATCATAGCAGCATCTTGTTAATAATAATGAAATGTTACAGTAAAAATACCTCATTTTATTTATCTACATCAGTAGGGATAAAATAAGGATAATTCAATAAGTTAACTTCTGTTAGTACTAAAATCAGGTGAAAGCCTATAAATTATTAGGAGAGATCTATTTCATATTCTACAA